TACGTCTGCGAGTCTGTGTTTTCTACCCTGAAACACGTGAAATCAAAGCATCGATCTGTTCTGACTGACACCCATGTGAAGGAATTGCTTCGAGTGGCAACAACGGAATACAAGCCAGATTTGAAGAGGATTGTTCAAGGCAAGGAATGCCAGAAGTCCCACTAAGCAACATGCATAGTAAAAGAAAAACGCTATTGTAAATTATTAATTTTTGTTTGTGGACTTGGTTGAACTCAGAGTTTGTGTGTGTGAGACAGTGTACACAATGTTCATTGTTGAAAATGACTGGCCTGTGGTCTTAGTACTGTAGGAGTCCATTTCTGACATTATCATGTTGGTGTGTGGCATTTACAACAAATCTGGCTGAGCAGTGTGTGTGTGAGAGGAAGGGATGGGTGATGTTCATGTGTGCGCATGTGTATGATGTGGCTCTTTGCGGTAACACAGTAAAAGGTGTGTGTGTGTGTGTGTGTGTGTGTGTGTGTGAGAGAGAGGAAGGGATGAGTGATGTTCCTGTGTGCCCATGTGTATGATGTGGCTCTTTGCGGTAACACAGTAAAAAATGTGGCTCTTGGTCTCTGACTGGTTGGCCTAGATCAATATCAGCATAGAAAACTTAGTTCACCAGCCAATATTTAAAAATAACCCACGTTAAAGGAAAAAAATCTGATCAATTAGACAAGGAAAACTGTTCAAAAAGGTTGTGAAGTAAATGTTTTAAAAGTTCCCTTTGAAATGTGGGGAAGGAAGCAAAAGCAGCTAGCCACATTTTCACATGCTTGACACTGATAATATTCATAATACCTGTAATTTACACAGCATCTGGCATACCTTGAAAGTGATGACCTCCATGCCAAGGACTGAGGTGTAAAACTTGATGGTGTCAGGGACACTTTTCACTGTAAGGACCAAATGGTCCAGGTGGCTCACTTCAACTGGACAGGTTCTTTTGAATTTGACATCTACTAGTGTTCGGCTGGTGAAAGTCTGAAAGAAGTGGTAGGATTAAAGCTGAAAAGCTGAAGATTAAATGTTGTTGATGAAATGTAGACCAGACAGAGGCGCTGTGTTTTGATTATCGATAGTTCCGGTAAAGTCTAGCTAAACTGCTGTTACGTTTGAGCTATTTCAGTCCTGACAAAGTTAAACGGAAGTGGAAAGACGATGGCAAAATTTGCAGTCAATGACATAAATTCACTGTTACCTTGAGACAAGTCCTCTGGAAATAGGCTAGACGACTCCCAGCTAACCGATACGACATCTTTTGTGTGGTCTGACACACGGATACTTCCTTGTTTTTCTACTATGGACCGTAAAGTAGCTGCAACGTTCACTGACGACGTCTGTGGGTCACCTGGTGCTGCGACGTCACAACAAATGAATGAATGATCGTTAATACGGATCGTACAACTTTAATTAACAAGCCTTCATGTTTTACTAAATATGGGATTAGTTTCGTGCTTTTACAAGCTTAAATACTATTTAGTGGCCATTCTTATTGCCCGTTTAAACGTAGTATTTTAGAAAAGTACATACTACTTCCCCCAAGTGCATGTGACCCAATGGTTACACAATGTATTAGGTACACATGTGCAATCTTTTTCTAGCCAATACAATACAATGTGGCATTTTATTGAGCCTATAACATTCAAGCTTTCTGATACTAATGGTGTTAGCTGCATTATATTTTAGCAGAGAGAACAACGTTGGTGATGGACTAGCAGCTTTACATTCAGAGATGTTTCTGATGTTCTGCACCTTTATGTTTGTAAAATGAAAAACCTCAAGTCCACAACGCTGCCTATAAACTATGACCTCAATAATAAACATAAATGTACACATTTCCACTTTATACACTTAGTAAGGTAGAATTTATAGAGCTTTTTAATTGAATTCACTAGAATGTGCAGGTGTCGGTCAAAAATAGGAACTGAAGGTATTCTAAGATTACAGAGCACAATATGAACTTGTGGGCAAAAAAATACCAACGAACAGTCAGATCAAATAAAAAATGAAGTATACTAACTATAGTTTAATATACAAGTAGTAATTATGTGCATCTGGAAGCAGCATAAAATTATTAAACAGCACAGAGTGTACACAATGCTTGACCGCAATGCTTTTTTTTTTATAGCATAACTTGTTTAATTCAGCGACTGGTCTGATTGAACACCCAGTCAACATACTGCTGTGGGTGGGTCACAGAACAAGGCCACAACTAAAGCATGGCCTAAAAGAGAACATACATTTCATTTACATGTTTATAGTATTCAACAATGACAATGTCTTGCATTCAAACTTTGTCACATGAAGAGGGGTAATAACTGTGGGAGACAAACTGTGAAACCAGGAACATGACAGGATGGCACTGATAGTGATGCCCTTTTTGTCCTTCAGCCAGTGTTCCTGTTCATGAACAGTGGTATTACAACCTACAGAACTTCTAAATAACATACAATGAACTTCAACACATTTTAGGAGGTAATAAATCTTCATTAAGATTTTAATCCATTAACAGGTTTTAGCAATATCATATTTATATCATGGTTTTTATTTCCCTATTTTCACTTTTGTATGTATTGCACACTGATATAGAGCATTTGCTCAAGAGGCGTGAGAATCCCAAATAAAGACTGAGCTACAATGGTGTGTGTGTGTGTGTGTGTGTGTCTTTAGACCCCCTCTGCTTTGAGTTCAGAAGGCATGTCTACATTTCATTTTAGGTCAATTTCATGATACACCATTATCAGCTTAAAGAACTTAATTCACCAGTTAATAATTAAAGATAACACTATGCTAGAAGAAAAATTAACAAATGGATGACAGAACAAAATGCCTGCAAAATCACTGTTGTGCATTAAAACAACATGCTCTTTTATGGGTGTGGGGGGGAAGCAGAAGCAACTATAAGTTTCTGAAATGTCTTGTTTAGCTAACATTTTTGAGATGGGAAATTCTTGACATCAACCCAGTATCCATTATCAATATTCAGACACCCTTAATTTCTGGTATGAAGAGTACTAATCATTTTTATAGCTTACTTGCACTTTTTAAAATAATTCAGCACACTTAAAACTCTCATGGTATATGCCACTCCAAAAATACTTAGGGAGAGTACAAGTCACACAATATATTGCAAACCAATTAAAATGTCCTACATACTTTGGACACCACAATCTCTAAATAATTCTGCTGTGATGCCACCTATTTTTAACACCAAATTTATGTATGCTATGAGAGTGTAACTGCAGTCAATACCACTAATCTTCATGAGAACATCTAAAATCCAAAACCAATTCAGTGATGCAAAGTGTAATTCAAATGATTTTTATTATATTTGCTTATTTACAGCTAATACTTTAAACTGGTGTAACTAAGACCTGTATAATACCAAACTTATGCTATGCAAGGTGCCACTGAGGTTCAAATACAAAAGATCAGATTTGTGGTGGTTGAACTACCTGTAGGTGTGCAGCATTGTTAACTTGGAGAATCTTTATGAAAACACATCTGCTCATGCGCATGGGTTGACACAATTCAAAAACCTGCTTGGTCATTACAGGCTGATTCAAACAGCATGCATTGCTTGCTGAAATGTCTTACTAGAGGCTGAATAATTCCCAATGTCACTGTGGAGCATCCCAAATCAAACTTATGACTGCATTATGGTCGAACTTGCAAATGGTATGAAGAAAATACATTTCAACAGTGGAGACATTTCCTCAAAGTCTGTCATGGACCTGGGATATTATTAGATTTATGTTGAGACAAAAGGCCTGCAGTCTTGTGAACTACACCACACTCTCTCGGTTAGCAGATACCAGGACAGCCCTGCGGCAGATGGGGCAAGTGGAGTTTTCAGACAGCCAGCGATCGATGCAATGCACGTGGTACTCATGAGAGCAGGGCAGCTTACGTAGCTTGTTACCTTCTGCATACTCTGTTATACAGACACTGCAAGTCTTCACGGCATCACTCTCACCAAAGCTGCGCATGGAGAGGTTGTCAATCTGCTCTTTAGTCAGCCCTTGGGGCTGGTCCTCGTCGTCGTCATTTAGAAGGAAAAAGTGGGCAAGCCGCAGGAAAGGCAGTGAGCTGGGCTCCTCTAGGCTGATAGGTGGTCTAGGCCGAGCCCTGCCACCAGAGCCAGGTGGACCAGTGGCAAGACCCTCATCCATATCAGCGTCAACTGTCCTTGCTCTGACTCCAGCAACCACAGGTGGTTCATCAACATCAGAAGCAGGAGCAGGAGTAGCAGCATCTGGGTTAAGGGCTTCAGCTGGATCCGTAACTGTGTTGGCTCCACGGGTTGAATCTGAAGAATCAGAGGCTGAATCCATGAGGTAGCCTAGTTCACCAAAACCAGTCATAATCTGCCTAATCATAGACTGGAGAGCTGCTGAAGTTGCCTCTCCCAAACCTGCATCAGAGATTCTTCGGATAGGGATGCGAATTGTGCTGACGTAGGTCCTCACACCAGCCCGCTCAGAACGTGAGAAAGTCCTACGAAATCCACCATGCTCGCTCTCATAAAGAAATGTGTTGTTTGAGTTCTGGGAGCGCGAGCGGGTACGACTAGCAATGCTGTCTCTTTGTCGATATTCGCCTGGACGCACACGACGCACCTGGAGATCGAGCATAATAGTTGGGAGACGGCGCCCTGAAGTGCCCCCTTCTCCCCCAGCAGCTTCTCCTTCCTGAGAGCCGGTATTTTGGGCATCTGGAACAGATTCTGCACCCGCCCTAGATGGCTGAACATCACTGTCAGCAGTGCTTTGCCTGGAAAGAACATGTTGTCGAGTCCGAGAACTGCCCTCCACTTGAGGTACAAGGGGAGCACTGGTGCCTGAGTTGGGGCCTTGAGAGCTGTGAGCATGATGCAGATTTGGAAGACTATCCAACTGATCCATGTGGAGAGGAGAGCGGCTCCTGGCTGTACGGGCCCTGGTCCTGCGTGGTTCTGGACTACGGCTGCGGGCTCTCCTCTGTCCTCTGCGTGGCGAAGGAGAAAGGGAGGGTTGTACCGGCTGGACAACAGGTGAGCTTGGAGGGTCTCCCAAAATCTCCTGTGAAACAACCTCTTCTACTTCAGGTTCTGGTTCCACTATGACAGCCAATTCCTCCACAACTGGTTCTTCCACCACTTCTGTCTCCATGGGGACCTGCGATTCAGCATTTGCCACCACTTCTTGACTCTCTGCAGACTCCCCTGGAGACTCCTGCTCCCCTTCAGCAGCTGCCTGCTGTTCAGCCAGGTTGCGGTTCACACTGATTTCCAAGCTGAAGCGAAAATCGCCACTATTTGGGTTGGTCTGGCTTACTGCCCGCCATGACTGGTTTCCACGATGACCTGTTCTGGTTGTGTTGCCTGTGCGCCTCACTGTGTTCAGCCAGTCCAGCAGACTATCCCCACTGGCAGGATCCTCAGAGCTTTCTGGTTGGTCTGGAAATTAGCAGATTTATCAGGTGAAAAATCGTATCTGAATTTTGACAGTAAATCACACAATGGGACAAAAACACCTTACCAACTGGGTCTTCTCCATTTTCAGTAGTAGGGGTGTTATTCTGTTCTTCTGTGCCATCTTTGATTTGCTGAAGTCTATTAAACAGCTCATCCTCTGTTACTTCTCCTGAAAGACATTACAAAAAAACAACAGTCCATTATCAAGTAACAAAATATTTTTTGCAGTTCACATATTCACTTCTTCAAGGCGTCTTAAATTGTGTAGCTAACTTCCTCTCCACTAGTATGACCACTCACTGTCAGCTGGGAGAAAGACAATGCAGGTGGCTGGGAAGAAATGACAAACTCCCTAATTTAAAGCACTAATGTAGAAAGTGGTGACAGACCACATGCTGTATCTGGGAGACAGAGGACAAAGGTGAAAAATAAATCTTGGACTGTATTGTACTGGCCAATACAGCTGTTTGGTTTTGAACACAGCAACAGGACTATACTGAAAACCTTCAGACTCACCAGGGCATGCCACCGTCCATTCAATGCCCTCTCAGTGCTGGTTGCTCCAAACTTACATTTCCCCCTCCCACTGTCATGGGACAGAAACGAATTGGGCATCTTCAGTAGTCCATAGGATATTGCACTTGGAGCATAGTAGCAAATCCAAAACTACAAGTACCTAAGCTGTAAAGATGGAGCTAAGTTGTGAATGAAAGGTTTACAAAAGCAATAATGTACATTTGAAGCCAAGAAAACCACCACAAAGAAAATACTTTTACATTGTAAAGGCCTTCATACCAAAACATTTAAAAATCTAACACTGAAAACATCAAACTTCATAATTTCATCGACCTATAAACACTGGAGCAGGTGGGTTGTAAAATAGTTCGTATGACAACACAATGATGCTACAGAAAATGTGGTTTAGTTACTCATCAAGTACAAGGAGCATGTTCACACTCTCTGGACCAGTCATGCCTGCTCCGAATCTCTACTTTATTCAAGGGGCACTGTAGCCTACTTACTAGCTCCACTAGATTAATGTGAAGCACCTGATATACAGCATAGTGTTTCCCACAGAATTAGATTCTACTTGTGGTGGTAGCTGATGGGGGTGCACACATACTTTCAAAAATGTATTTTTATAAATACAGTAACTATAGTGCCTCAGTGCTTTCTGTTGTTGTGCTGTTCATCTAACCTGTCCCTGCTGCACTAGATGGCCAAAGCAGCATGTTGGCTACTGTCCTCCTTTCATACACCTCTCTCTTAAGCTCCCTCTTGCTGCAGCAGCATTGGCTGAAGCCTTGAAATATTTCAAAACTAATTAACCGGATAGTTAATCACGTTGGTTTGGTGTGCTTTTCAATATTCCTCTGGACTAAGGAAGCCAGCATTCATCTTCCGAGTTTAAGAATTAGCATTAACATTACCCGCCTGTATAGCAGTCCATATACAGCCATGCTGCCAACCTTGGCAACAGCTATGCTCCAAATTAGAGATGCACCGATCGACTGCAATGGCCGGCTTTCAGCGTGATCGGCCTTGACCGGTGACCGGCCAATCACTCTGAGATTTCCAATTCAGTGCTACTCAAATTTAAAGGCTTTAAACAGCTCATGTTGCACACACATTGCATGTGCAGGGCACTTGTTCACTCACACATCGTAAGTGCTTAGTGTAAAAGTAGCATACAGTGGAGCCTACAGAAACACTGTGAAGAAGGGGAAACTGCGTCCAAATATTACATAATGAGAGTCACTGGCTACATGTGAAATGCATGTATACACACACTTCAAAAAGAACTGTGTACTCAGTAGGACTGATCTAACAAACATTCGTCTATTTCTGTTACCTTTTGCACCTGTTTATAATTAAGTACAACTATTACACTTTAGATTTTTTTCTGTTGGTTTGTTAAAAATAGTGAAAGATGGAAATGTAAAACTTTAATAGAATGTTTTCTTTTTATTGCAATGTCATTTTTCATTAAAGAAAACTGACAAAATGTTTGTGCATCCTGTCAGTTACATTTCTCAGAAAGAAAGATAATCATAATTTACCAAAACTGGAATCACTGGGTCACACCAAAAAAATTAAATAAAATAAAAACATGTTTAAAAAAAAAACCCATAAACAAGAATCGGCCCAGCAAACTGCAATTGGTGCACCTCTAGTTCTAACGTTAGTTCAGCTAGGCTCACTAGTTTGCTACTAACATAGTACAAGAGTTATTTGAGTTAGTCTGTTAGTTATGTTAAAAACACAAATGTAGAGAGGAGTAGCTGTTCACAAACAGTCTGTTGTCAATGATCGTGTGAGAATGAGAGACACAGAGAGAGTGGGACACGGACCGACTGAGCAAATCAAACACTGTCCGCAGATTTTCAATGAAATATAGATAACATAACATATAATATAAACAACATATATTTAAAAAATAGAAAATCAAGAGCGAGAGGAACATTTTCTCTAGTTAATCA